TGTAAGCTTTCACACCGTGACAAGGAGTCAGTTTTATGTTATGTATGAAGGACACAGAATATTTCTTCCTAAAATAAGCATTTAATCAGAGAAGACATTTTACAGGAAAAACCAAAGAAAAACTAATGAATCCTCCCCTCCAATACCTCTTTCAGATGGAGAAAAAATGTATTTTAATTAATTTAGGAACAGACCTAAAAACTTTATTGGAACTGTAATCGAACACAGACATTTATTAATCCAAAGCAAGGATAAAAATATTTAGCACCTGTATCATATTTCCAAGATTTAAGACCTGACATTCATTCCTCAGGTAGTCTTCTGCTTCTAAAAAATTTGTAGATATGTAATTTTACTCCTTACCACAGTGGCTCCAATTAAGTTGCAGTGACTTTTCAGGGTGATTTTCTGTCTGACTTTAAAACCAGGACGAAAACTTCCAGTTCTCTTTAAAAAAATTAATTTAAAAGCATATTAAAAGAAAAAAAAAGAAAAAGGAAAAGCTAAAAACTGGAACAAATTGGGTACTGTTTCAGGGACAGTTTCCCTGAAATCAACTCACTAACCATATTTTCTCAAAACAAATAATCGGCAATGAAGGAGAGGAGAAAATTAAAAAGTTGAATAAATGCATTTTTGTACTTGTATATATAACATTGTAAAAAGAAATACCACTAAGACACATAGGTTTACTCAAATCATAAAAAATATTTTATTATAATTTTGGAAAATAAACTCTTCAAAGCACAACACCAAACCCAAAGGAAATGTCACGATCCTGAAATACAGTGAAATTGTCGTAATTTCAATATGGGTTAATATCTGCAATGATTATTGCTGTTACCAGACCTCCCTTCCTGGCTAAAAAGGCACTTGTTAAAGTAGGAAAAATAGAAGAATATGCATTGACAGAAACCAACACCCAACCCCTTCTCTCTTCTGTGCCTCACTAAAGCAGGAACAGGATTTTCATAATTTTTCCTGGCTGAAATATCCATTTGTCTCACATTCAGCCTCATCTGAGCCACTGAAACAAACAAGAATCAGCACAAAACCTGGTGTGGTGAGGAGGACTGTCCTGCTGGAGGTGACAGCAGCCAGTGATGTGACCCAGGGGCACAGTCCCAGCTGGGTTTCAATGATGTGACCCAGGGGCACAGTCCCAGCCGGGTTTCAGTGATGTGACCCAGGGGCACAGTCCCAGCTGGGTTTCAGTGATGTGACCCAGGGGCACAGTCCCAGCCGGGTTTCAGTGATGTGACCCAGGGGCTCCCAGCTGGGTTTTGGGCACACCTCAGGCACCATTCTGGGGAAGCTGGGGCAAAGCCTGGTTCATGCACGGGGCTCTGGGGCAGTGCCCTGGCAGCCAGGAGTGAGGAGCCTGATTGCCACCATCTCCTCAACACCGGTAGTGCTGCCCTTGGGAGATCTCCCCTTCCTAGTGGTGTTTCTCAAAATACGCTTATTTGCCATATTGCTCTTGATAAAATCTTTATTGGCATCTTCCTGCACAGCAAGACAGGAAGAGAAAGTAATTACCTCTTCTGTTCTGCAGCTTGATAACATTCCTGTGAGTTTCCTACACGTCCACAAATCTTATCTTAATAGTTTTCCAGAAATATTTTTTTTCTTTAATTCTCACCAAAGAAAAATAGACCCATACATTACATTTGAAAGAACTGAAGGTATAATTCCACATTAAAACCTGTTTGTCAGTCAGTTCGTGTGGCTTTTTCAGTGCTCATCTCAGTGACAGGACAAACTATTTGCACACAAAAAGTAGCAACAATAATTAATAAAAAGTGGGCGTTCTAGTGCAATGGTAATATTTTAGGTCCCTTGGTCTAGCCCAAATACAGCAGAAGATTAGAACTTCCCAGACCAGAGTATCAATGAGAGTTTTGGGTGCACAATAAAGTCTGAATATAAGTCTGAATCCCAGCTAAGTAGGAGTTATCTTGTGGGTTAAGATTTATTTAGTGTAAGGAAGAGGGGCCAACATGTCTTTTTTTCTCCCCACCTTCCCCCAGTTAGTTACAAAAAATTCAACTTCCAGACATATTTATTCTTAAAAATAAGAGCATAGCAGTGGTCACACTTTCCTGAACTCCACCAATTTGTGGAAACTGGAGCACATACTTTTTATTCCAAAATGACATAAAAATATTTATAACTTTTTAACCAATGTTATTCAACAATACAATAATTCACAGATGGTGCTGTAAGTTTGCAAGCAGCCTAAAGTCAAATCTAAAGTCATGATCAAAAGAGCTTTTCAAGCTGACAAGCAACATCTGGAAAAAGACAGCAACAATCCCAGAAGTACTTAGGCTTTGGAGAACTGAATTGTAACAAGAAATTATGTGCTTTGCAATCATGTAGTTCTCATGTAGCAAGATAGGTATTCAGGTGGAGGTTAATATGTAATGCCTGCTTTTCTAAGAATGAATTTGACCATGTCAGGAGGATCTCTAAATTTAAACTTTTGAGTTTAGAGAAACTGTCCTCAGGAAATGTACTGAACGTGACATATGTTCATACACAAACATCTAAAATTACTGGTGCTTTTCAGTTGTTAGATACAAAATTTGCAGTACTCTCTTTTATGGTTTAAAAAGTTATTTTCAAAAATAGTGTGAAAGAGAAAGCTACACACATTTGCAGCAATGCCCTGCATTGGACTACATCTTTCCAGAGGCTGCTTATTTGGAATCATACTTTGTCAAATTATCTACATAATAAAGCTAATATATCTCCTATTAAAACAGTCAGTCTGTAAATTCTCCAGGTATGAAAGTGAAGTGGGACCCCTAATGTCTCTGAAATTCTACAGAAATATTTCAGTTGTATTCTACCTCCAAATGTTTTACCCTCAGCCCCAGACAAACTGCAGCTTAATTCCACTCCCGAGGGAGAAGTTTCTGTGACGGCTTGGCATCAGCTGTGTTTTGCAAAGCAGGTAAACCAATCATTTAAACCAGGTAAGACTCAGCTAGGATAGACTTTTATATGTTCAGGACTCTTTTCATGATTTCTTGATTAAAATGTGTTGTTAAGACGATATTCACATAATCGATCTGAAATTCCTATCTTTTAATTTTTCAACAGGTTGGTGTTTGTTTTTCCTTTAAAAAAATACCGAATTCTTCTGAACACTTGAATTTGATCTTTTGGCAGGTAATCTTTTCAGAAAGAAGCTCCAAAATAATCCTAAATCACTAAAAGAAACTCTTTGAAAACAAAATTAATATAGTGATTCAAGAGATTTTTAAAAACACATAAAACTTACAGAAAAAGTTTGAATATTTTACATACAAATACATCAAATAACATCTTATCACAAGTTTATGCCACGGTCCAGGGTTAGGTCACATAAGAGAGATTGATTGGGATCTGAACATGATATGGGGCAAAATACAGATCACACCATCTATTTGTCACTTTGACTGAATAAAAAGTTTCCCATACATTTACTGCACTTCATCTTAAAAAAAAAATAAATCCTTCCACTACTGAAGAAAAGAGCAAAATTCCTGTAAAAGACTGCAGCATCACTTTTCAGTCATGTTTCCATTAATGCATTAAGCTACTATAGTGACTTCCATCAATTACGTTATCTAAAGAAAAAAACGAAATTGAAGCAACTACCAGTTTTCCTGATGTTTCAGCCAGAAAACTAACATAAACGAGGACGCTAGAGAAGTATTTCCTTTATATTTTGTGCCCTGACAATCTGCATAAACTATCTCGTTTTGTGAATACACATGCACTATTGTAAGAAATTGGAAGAACTACTTGCCTAGAAGGAAAGTTGATTTTGGTAACACAGTTTTGTGTGACTGGAGCTTCATAATGCAGCTTTTTCAAAACATTTGACTATTGAAAGTGCAAGTCTCTAAGTACCAGACCATAGAACAGATATTCACAAATTTGCTTGCATTACACCAGGTACTAATCTCCCCCCAAAAGAAAAATTCTGTGGCATTCTCTGAGTCGCACATGACAGCAAACTGAAAAGGACAAAGATGTTTTCAGACAATATTTGACAGAAGAGAAAAAAGAAAACAGTAAATGAAAACAAGCAAAAAAGTGACAACTTAAGACACAATAAGAACTAGATAATTTAGCCATGAAAGAGGCAAAATCCTTGTTCAAATTCAAGAACTGAACAATACATCACACCCAACCTGGCACTCATTTAAGGAACAAGCAAGTACAGGCACTCCTTGTGTGGAGCCGTGTTGATACTGATCCCTTCCCAAATCATAGTCAAGGGTAATCATTAGTGAAATCAAGCAGCTCAAAGCTGAAGGAGTGGAAAAACTCCTCTCTCTTGAGTCTTGACAGAATACTTGTGAAGAAGAATTGACTAAATTGTTTTCCAAAGAAAAATAAATGAGAAATGTATAGCCAATCTAAAGCAGAGTCTAATTCACAGACAATAAAGGGGACTGAGGTCCTCCTCACACAGGAAGGAAGCACCACAATTTCAGTTCAAGAGAATGGAGGAAACTGTCCTGACCATTCCACATATTTGCTCCTTAATATTCTCACCTCAATATCTATCTCCCCTTAGAAAAGCACTCTTGCGAGAAGAAAGGGGTTATGGAATCAGTTCTCTGTGCTCATGCAGAGCAGGAAGAGTGATGTAGATCTCAAAACTCAGAAAGTTTTTGGGCTGGAGATGTGAAGGGGATATTACTAAGACATTTAATACCCTGTTTTATTCCAAGCCTTTTGAACTGCACATGAAAATTTTTGCATTTTGAATTTACCAAGAAAAGCACATCTTTCTACACATTTGCTTTATAGAATTTGGGCATCTTCCAGGCTGAAACACCTTCCAGAGCCATCCACCATTCTTTCTCAATCCTTTCAGATTCATTTGCGGGGGAAGAGAGCGGGGAGGGTGGGGGACTTTCCACGCGTAGTGCCAAGATCCATCCTTCCCTCCCCGGCCGCACACACGGCACTGGGCGTGTAGCCGGGGCTCTATGTAACCCCCGCCGGCACAGCCCCGCGGGCTGCGGGCGTCATGGCCGAGGCGGCGCCGCCACCATGACCGCGGACCCGTCGGCGCAGCTCCCCGACAGCCTCCGCACGGACCATGTTCCATGGTAAGGAGCGCGCCCCGCACCGCCCCGCTCCGCGCAAGGCGCTCCGCCTCACCTGCCCCGCGCCCCGGCCGCGCTGCCTCCTCACCTGCCCCGCTGCCTCCTCACCTGCCCCGCTGCCTCCGAGCCGTCGGCCCCGCCGTCCCGCCTGCTCTGCCGGCGCGGTGCTTCCCGGTGCCTTTTAAACCCTTGGTGACGGCCGGGGAAATTCCCAGTTTTGCTTTTTTTTTCCCCTCTTTCCCGCGCAGAATGAAAGTAAAAGAGTTCGGTTCCCATCACGCCTGCTGCCGGGAAGGGCGGCTCGGGACTGGCAGAGGCAGCTGGACAGCGCGGGGCGGGGGAGCTGCGGGAGGCATTGCTGAGCTCCGGTCCGCGCTGCTCCCACCGCCCCTGGCGCCTGCCTTCCCATGGCACCTGCTCCCGTGGGCATCTTCTTCCCGTGGGCATCTTCTTCCCGTGGGCATCTGCCTCCCGTGGGCACCTGCTCTGCTGCCCCGCGGGTGTCCCCGGAGCAGGTGCGGCGCAGCTCCTCGCCCTCGGGCGGGAGCGCTCGCCCGCCCCTCCGCACGGGTCCAGGGGGATGGAGGGGAAAGAATGGCAGTGCCCCGTTGCCCGCGGGAATTGCGGGATGCGGAGAGGGGAAGGGGGCAGAGGGAGCGGCCCGCCGAGATTGGGGCGCGTTGTGAAGCATCCCTGCTGCGAGGATCCCGCTGGGTGCCGCCGAGGACGTGCCTGGGGGTGTATGCACTGAAGGGTGTTTTAATGTTAAAAAGACAAGAGGTTTTGTTTTAGTTTGGGTGGTTGGGGTTTTGGGGTTTTTTTGGGTTGTGTTTTTTTTTTGTTTTTTTTTGTTTTTTTTTTTTTTTAATATGTGGAAATACTGGAATACTAGCTCTTCCCGGCTTTTCTAGGAGAATTTTTGGGGCTTTCCAGATATGACTTAGGAGTTTCTGGGAGTTTACCGGAAAGATGGGCTATTACCAGTAATGCTCTCTTTCTTCTGAATTGCTGGCCATATGGAGCGCCATGAACTCCCGTTCTTTCGAAGTTACCCAACCTCAAGAAAATCCCTTTCAATTTTCAGTCTACATCTCCTAGAATTTTCTGTGACACTTGTCTAATATTTTTTCCAGAGGACTCATTTAGGAATGTCTGAAAAAATTTGATCACCATCCTGCAGTGACTCAAGGGACTTCATGAGTGTGCAGCACGTGATAGACTTTTATTCTGTAATTTTCTCATTTAAAAAAGATTGGCAATCTGTACAATATCTTATCTCTTATCTCTGCTTGTTGCTGGACAAGCCAAGTTTAAAGTGATGGAGTCAGATTGTTTTAATTTAGAGGATTGCTATTTTCGTCCCTTCAAGTGTGTTTGTGAAGCAGCATATCCAAATTGTTTGTATTACTCTATTTGTGAGCAAGCATTGCAGTTCATCCTTTGCACTGGAACCAAGAGGTGCAGTGGGAAATTGGAAAAATGTTGCCTCACAATTGAGTTCTTGAATGTTTTTTATGTCTTTTAAAATACTAAATCTTAGTCCTTCAAACTGATAAATCATGCAACAGAGATATAGTTAGCATAGAGATTTACAAAGATAAAGCTCTGTGGAAGTCAGGTGTGTCCACCCGGAGCTTGAAGATCATAATAGAGTCACCTTACAGAATTTTTGTAATTTACTACATGTAGGATCCATTTAAGATTCACTTAGCTCATCAGGCTAGATTTCTTGAAACATTAATAGACCTCAGTTGATCAGTCAGAAAATCTGGTTTTCAACCCATAAAATTTCCAATTAGAATTTATCAGGCAGCTTGCTCAAGAATTCTGTGATTTAGCTTGTACAGGTAAAATTTTTCCAGTCCTGTTTCTAGGACAGAGGTGTACATCACTGCATGCTCACATGAAATCTGTCAGAAAGAGGAGGCTTCACTAGTCAGGAAAAGCATACATTCTTCTTTGGGGATTCAGTCTGCTGTGTGTGGTGGGAGTTGGCTGGGATGGGCTGTAAGGGACTGTGTTTCTTTTAATGGCAGTGAGCACGTGGTGTGCCTCTGGTTCTTGCATTGCAGAAGATAGATGGGTCAATGCAAATTATGGTCAAGTTTTATTGCTGTTTTCCTAGTTGTTCAAAATTCCTCTCTGAGGCTGTGATTTACGAGCGATGCCCAGGTCCAAAGGTACTAATCTCTTGAGCTGGACTGGCTGTACCCAACAGCCCATCCCTGCCCAGAGAGGAGGGAAAGTAGCAGCTGGGGCAGGGCATCCCCTCTTTTTTTCCTGGCTCCTGTCTCACAGCTACTCTGTATGCAGTTGTTGTTACTGAATGGTGAAGATGGGCAGAAACAATGCATACTCCTCCAGGAACTTGCTGTGATCTTTGCTAGTCCTCCATCACAAATTTCTACCTTTTTTGGTTTGGGTTTTTTTCCAAAACCTTCAATTTAAGCATTATCCTAGCCAGCCAGCAATAGGCCAGAGTCCAATTATTCCTAATCACATATTATCATGTACTTGGTCTCCTTCATTCCCAGTGCCCCCTGAGTCACCTGCAGCCTCCTGTCAGTCTCTTCAGGCTCTTTTGATATTTTGGTATTTTCTGTCTGCCCATCCTCACAGAACTCATATTTTCCTGGATGTCATGCAAATCAAAACACCAGGGGTCAAAGCAAAAGAAGGCAGTCCACTAAAGGGACAAACAAAGTGATGGGCAGTGAAGTTTGCTTAAAAAGATTGCAAAAATCTTGTGTTGAAGGTTGTGTTGCTGCTTTATCTCATGTTATGGCCAGTAGCATAGATTTGTACATTTGGTCAGCCTGAAAATGTGTTTAAACACACTTTTGTTATAGAGGTGTGTTCATAGGGATTGTAGAAGTTGTCAAAGGAAAAATGGACAGTCAAGATGACATTCAGTGGCTGGGTAAAGCACTTGAATGTCTAAACATATATGATTAAAACACTACATGTGTCTGATGTTGTTATGGTCCAATAAAATTCAATGCTTGCAGTGAATCCTGAGGATGGATTCAGCCCAAGCAGTCACCAAGTAGCTGGTCAGATCAATAGTTGTAGGCTCTTAGCCACACTGTGTGAATCATCTCGGTGTGTGAGGGAGTTTAAACACCCAAGAATGTCTTAATCTGGAGATGAATCCTTCCCTCTAGCAAGGCACAAGTGATTTGGTTGTACAAAGGTCCCTTTTAAACTGTTTTATCATATTACAGAATGTATTTGCTAATACAGCATACAGTCTGTGACATTAACTAACATGTACCTAACTGTTTTTCTTGTAATCCAGCCTTTTTTAGATCTACCTTACCAGTTCTGCCACTGCTCCTTGTTCTGTCTCCAGTGAATGCATCTACTTGTGCAATGGGAAATAAAACAGCAGAAATCCGTGTGAAGTATGAGAATGTACTAAGTCACGACATCAATGAGCTGGTAGGTAGTAGCTCTTGGACTTCCAAAACACGTTGATTATTTTTGGATGCTAACAATAATAAAAACTCTAATGTTAAAACATTATAAAAGACCAATTTAAAGTCATGCATTATGATGGAATGGTGGTTTTATTTGAGGGGATGCAACGATTCAGTCTCTTTAAAATCTCTGAAATCTGTGGATAATGCTATTTGCATGTACAAGTACTGTGATACAGTTTTTTGTGACTGTGCATTCTCTAGTTAGACACATGTACTATTTGGCCATACATCATATATTTGATTAGAAAGTACTTTTTTTCTAAAGTAATTTCATGACTCTTTCTGTTTGTATGCTTTTATCAAGAGAAGAAAGCATTACACCTGTAATTTGTTCTACTAATTATAGTTCTTGACTGAAGTTTTATGTCGTCCATTGTATAAAAATGCACAGAGGCACAAAATTCATGACAGTAAAAGTTTGTTTGCATCTTAATAGGTTTCTTTGTACCTATTAATATATCTTATTTAGCCAACAAAAATTATCTTTTCTAGATGGCAGTGGAGAAGAGCTTAACATTCTCATGTGTAAATCTCCTCCATTATGGCTGTATCAGCCACATTTATTATAACTTTGCAAAATAGTTTCTTAACAGTTTACCATTCCATGCCCAAAATTTACCTTCCAATTCTTCCTCATTAATTATTAGCAATTAAATTAATCTGTCAAGAACACTTCCATGGGGGAACACTTAAAACAGTTCTATTAGCAGAGGCATCCCCACAAAAGCTGTGATTTTCCTGACAGATTGTCAGGAAAATGAGAGTTCACCATACTGTTGCAGACTTAAATCAAGATATATTTGCATGAAATACAAATAATATTCAGCCTTTTTCCAAGGGAAAAATCAGGAGACATTGCATTTCTTCACACTTATGAACTACCACCATCCTTCAGAGCATTACGGCAGTGGTCTCCAGCCCAAGACATACCAATCCTCATCTGGAAATAAAATACCTTTAGGGTCAGGGAATGACCTTTTAATATTTTAATCATGTTATGTTGGTTGAGATTATGAAGAGAGAAAGGTATTTCTCTGCAGGTAAATGACTTTATCTTGAATGAGGCATCAAATCTGGGGAGAATATTAATGGCCATATTAGAATAGATGAATATTCCCTTTAGTTTGCTGTTGTATGTCTGACAAAGACAAGTCCCCAGAGACTCCCTAGAGAACAAAAACAAACTTTCTTTGTGAGCAGTTAGAAGGTAGCTGACCTGTAAGAGAAAATTATACGAAGGAATAGCACCTTCTGGGAGGCAGATTCTGCTACCTTCTGGTGGTGGAGATCCATGAGGTTCATCCCAGCCCTGCTCAAGATGCAGGGTCAGGGATGCTGGGGGACTGTTCTGGTCTGGATAGGGCAATGCCTCGCCACTGTCCTATTGTAGGGTGGAGCATAAAGTTGTATATCATAATAAATATGTAAATAAAACCTTCATGAATTAATGTTTGTGAAAACTAATGGGAATGTACTGAGCTCCGAAGTTTTACTTCCTTGAAGACATACACAATCAGCTACTGTGTAAGTTTCTTTATTTTTTCTGTCTTTACTTTTCACTGTTTAAGAGAAATTTGTCTTCTGTGTATAATCAATGTATTGTCATTATAAGTTAACAGCAAATAATAGGTGTGCTGTGTGGGTGGTAGCAACTGCCCCAGCAGGCCCTTTCCTGCAACTGCAGAGCCAAGGTCAATGGCTTTCAGTTCCTCAGCCAGATGTTTGGAGCAGCTATGGGTTTGCTGCAGAGCAAACAGTGAGTCATATACTAGAGCTTTGTAAGGTAATTAAATTTTCACTAATGCCTTTTCTGAGCTCAGGATTTCCCTTAGGTTGGTTTAGACACAGCCAATAAACTGCCTTCAGATGTGGTTACTGTACATTATACTAAAGGTGATCTGAGGAAACTGGAGAGGATGGTAAAATCTCATAGCAGTTAGCAAATTAAGTGACGCATATATAGTTTTTAGGATGACTATATATAAATATAGAGATATATAATTATAAATTTTGGTGCTGTGCAACTGCAGCAATATCTGTTGTGGTGCAAGATAAGATGTGCATTAGCTTTCTTAATTTGGTTTTGTTGTTTTGTGATTTTTTTACTTTGTCAGTGAATATTTGACTCCCTAAACTCTTGGTTTTGAAAACGCTTTCTGGATAAAGCTCTGTTTATCTTGGGTGAACTTCTGAAATACAGACATTTTCTGCAAAAAAACTTTAAGAATTAACTGTCTAATGTGCTAAGTGAAGTGATCTGAAACAATACTGTTGTGAGCTGCCTTTTTTGAAGCCCTTTGGCTTAACTGGAATGTCTGGATACAGGCTGAAGAAGACAAAATTTCTGTTGAATTGGCTTCCATTGTCATCTTGATGACAAGTGTCAAAGTGGAATAAAAAACTACAAGAGAGGATAAAGTATTGATATAATATTATAATCAGGCAAAAGACCGTGTGATGTTGCTTAGGCCATCTTCTGTTATTACATATACAAAGTGAGTGCTACCATCTGTTTAGAGCTGAGACATGTATTTATTGCGACAAACATTGACAAACACTGTATTCAATGTTACAATTCAAATGTAAGATTTAAACATTGCTCCATGTCTCAAAATTTCAAAACAAAGCAATTTAAAGATTTAAATTGAAGAGATTTGTGTCCATTTCTGGGCTCCCCAGTATGAGAGAAATATGGAGCTACTGGTGGTGGTCCAGCAAAGGGCCATCAGGATGCTGAAGAGACGAGCATCCCTCTGATGAGGAAAGGCTGAGAGAGCTGGGGCTGTTCAGCCTGGAGAAGAGAAGGCTCAGAGGGATTTCATCCACGTGTAGAAATACCTCAAGTGAGTGGGCAGAGAGTGCAGAGCCAGGCTCTTACAGCAGTGCCCAGTGACAGGCCCAGGGGCAGTGGGCACGCACCAGCACACAGGAGGCTGCTTGTGAACATCAGGAAAGAGCTTTTTACTGTGAGGGTGACTGAGCACTGGCACAGTACTTCTATCTCTAAACATATATGATATTTTACAGGTAAATATGTCTGCAGAGAATCGTGACAGGTGCTGCAAGAATAAAAAATATGAAAATATCAAAGTGTTTTTCTGCAATGATACTGAGGTAAAATTTAACTTTTCAGAATGTGGAGAGTTCTTTGAACAGTCCAGGATAAAATAGCGTGATAGGGTAGTATTTAGTTTTAAAAGCCAAATCACAATATTCAGGATGGTTTGTTTTTTGAATCTGGAATTATATGATGTATTGGGTAAATTGATATCTTAAACATTTAAATATTAAGCGATTCCATGTCCAAGATATGTGGAGTTTTTTTCCTCTTCTATGAAGATTCTTCTATATTTTTTAAACAAAACAGACACTTTCCTTTTTGCCAAGGAAACATTACTATTTCCCAATCTCTTTTTAAAAATTTTTCTACAGAAAGTTATATTAGCTAAGCTTTTCACTTCAGAGCTGCAAACTAAAATAGTAGTTTGGGCAGATCTCAAATGCCAAAAAGCACAATTTTCAGCTGTTGCTACAGATTTAACATGACTAGATAAAAGGAGTGGCTGCATAAATAATTTGTTTTCCTAACTGCATCAATTGATTTGATTACAGCTGTGATTTCTCCCTAACATCCTTATGCTACTATTATTACTACTAAAAATTGCTGCTTTAAATATCTTAAAAAGATGGCAGGTAAGTCAGATTAGTTATGTATTTTATTGAAAAAGATTTGCACTATGAAAGCAAGAGAAACCAATAGTAATTGGTGGAAGGTTTGGGGTTTTTAAATATAAATCAACATTGCAAATAATTAATGGTGCACAAACTTTTCAGGACATATTTTCCTTGCTCTCTTGACAGGAAATAGAATCACTACAGAGCATGGCATGCAACATGCTCAGATTCTTTAATAAGCAGAGAATCAGCAAAGCCTTTAGACAGAAAGCAGCATTTGTCTCATGTGGGACACTACAAGTTCTACAGTGTAAGTGTGAAAGACCTAAAAAAGAAAAGGTGAGTACTCAACTTTTAACTACTTGCCTTATTTTCTAGAGTTCTTCAAGACAGACTATCACACCTGCCTCTAAAAGATGCAACTATCTTGTACATGTTCTATGCCAAAGAAAGTTTTGTCTCTATAGCATTTGTCTTGTAATAGACATTAAGTCCAGTGCAAAGACTGAGAAAGTCATCTGGAAATCTATGGTGAAGATATCTGCTCTGGTTCAGTAGTGAACTGAATTTCACTTAAATCTCCAATGAGAGACAAGGATCAGACTTGTGCAAAGAAGGTGTTTAAACTTCTCTGGAATATAGTCAGAGTTGTTGTAACTTCTCACTAACCCTGAGTAATGTTTAATTTGGTTTGTCTCAACAAACTATTAGGGTGAGATTCTCTCTTTTCTGTAACCTCTTTGGTCTTTATTTTAACCACAATCTCTCAAATTCAAAAAGAACAATTGGGTATGATAATATCTGGTTTTTTAGTCTTTGGCAGAATCTTCTTTTTGAAGTGCCACTTAAATGTAGCACAGCAATCTACTGACTGCTGTAGCAAAGGAGGAGTGTTCTTTTAAGTGTGGCTCAGTGTTACCTATTGAATACAAAAATATTAACCAACATCAAAAAGTCTTCACATAGGCACCAAAAATCTAATATTTAAACAGATGGATTGAAGGCTTCATTTAGGTTTTTATTTTTCTCCTTGAAGTGGAGAGACTTACAGTCTGGAATGAGATCTTCAAAGTCATGTTGATGTTTATATTTTGCTTTGTCACCTCTGGTGAATCCAACATTTGCCTTACTTTAAAGGTATTCCAGTCAAGACATAGAAGTCAGTGACACCCTTGCAACTCCTGCCTAACCTTATGGATTCCTGCTTTTATTTAAAGACCAATTAAAGTAATTTAGCAAGAAACTATGAGCAGTCATTGAATATGAACAAGAACCACAGTAGTTTTGTCTGGCTGAGATCTTGAACATTAAGACACAGCACCAGCCCCTGGAACTGGTCTGTCTTGTTCCACTAGTCTCAACACATATAGTCAAAGTTTGGGTCACAAATTAATTTGCTTTATTTTCTCAACCCTTGAGACAATAGAGGATAAATTTTAATCTGTGATGGAGGATGTGCATGTTCTCAGTTGGACACACTTGTTTCAGGTGTCCTTTTGCTCTGAGTTAAAGCCACATTCTCACAGTCCCAGGGGCAGGGTCTCTCCAGTATTCAGATGTAAGGCAATTGGTTTGCTTTGAAAGATGGCTACAGGAATAGAATAAGCAGTTCTCAGATAACAATACAATCTGTTCTGTTTTAGGTTTGCCCACATGTATTTAGTTTAGAAGATACAGAGACAGGTGAACAGTCCAGAAAGAAATGTAACCAAGAAGTTTGCGAACTAAAAGAAAATATATCTAGCCTTCGATCCTGCTGGAATAAATTTGAAAAAATAATTTCCAGGTGAATCCTGCTCTTTTCTTTCGAAGTGGCATTACTTGGTATCTTTGCATTTTATATGCATTCTTCAAGTCAATTTGCTCGCTTATATGAACACTTTATGCCAGAATTCTGATGGAAGGCTACTGTACCTTGTTCCTGGAGGTAACAGAAACAGAAACGGCTGAACCAAGCTGCTGAAGTCCAAGAAGTGGAAATAGAAGACCAGCATTTGAAACAATGTGGAGTGGAAAGAAGACCAGCATTTGAAACAAAGAACTCTGCACAGACCTCTGCAGAGGTCTGTGTCCAACCTTTGTGCTCTGGAAACTACTCTGGATTTTCTGATTTTTCAAGTAACTTTATAATACTGTCATATGAAAGCAGCCACTTACATGTCTACTGGAATTTATAAAAAAACCATCTTGGAATCTGCAGGTGAAGAAAAAGAGTATGAAAAAGTAGCTGGTTTCTTTATATCTATGCAAAACACACCAAGGACCAAAAGTAACAATTTACCAAAGCAGCAGATTATCTTGGATATGTTCTCCTGACACAGAAGTGTTTGATGGGTCTGCTAACTGATTTGGGTTTGGAAAAACAGGGAAAAAGTTAGCTTTTTGAAAAATTTAGGAAGGGAACTGATTTTTGAGAGATGCAGCTTCTGCTGGCTGAAGCACAGGCAAGACAGAATCCTGTAGAAGAAGAAAAAGATGCCTGAATGTAAGTTGCTCAGTTGACTGGAAACAGCACTACACTCATTCATTTGATCAACCCAGAGTTAGCTGCAGGAGGAGCTAGAATTCCTTAGCTTCAGATTGTGATTTCTCATATGCAATTATTTTATGTAACATGTTTTAAGATGTTAGGCAAACGTGACTTAAAATATGTGAATATTGTCAGAGAATAATATATTGGCATTTAACTAATAAAGTGCTCATATTTTATTTTGAATAAATAGAAGTATTTTTATAGTTACTACTCTTTTGCAGTTTCTTACTTTGATATAACTCCTTTGGTAATAAAATATTTGTCTTCTATGAAATTGGGCTGTTCACTTTTTGACTACCATTACTCCTTTTTTAGTTTTTTTTTCAGAGATAGTTAGTCATTCGAAGCCCAGCTGGGGAATTCCCATCTTAAAATACCCATTTCTTAGCTGCTTGTAACCTGCCCAATTTAGGTAAACATTTCCATACCACCCATCTGCCTTGAACTGAATACTTCAGGAAAGCTTTAGTTAATTCAGCCTGTTGTTTCCTGGTTTGAAGTAAACTAACATAAATTGTTTTATCTGTGCTAAAAGAATTTTTCTGTAAAACTCCTCTGTAAAAATTTTGGTATTCAGAACAAACACCTGAAAAAGCAGTAGGATGTGCTTCAAAGAACTGTTTTCTCAGTTGATTGTAAAGAACATTAGTTTTATGTATTTGAGTGGAATAAGATTGCTGTACTAAATCTGAGAGGGAAGAGGTTAAGAGCAAAGCATGCTATGCTTTCCCTCTCCAAACCCCTGTGTATTTTTGATGACAATAAGGCAGGAGTGGTAACTTTGTAAACTGTGACTGAGACTTTCACATATTCTCTTTAGCTCTTCATAGAAGAGATTGCAACTTTAACTCCAAACACCTTAAAAAACTGAAACCAACCCCAACCCATAAATCTTTAATGGAGCAGGGAAAGGAAACGGAAACATTTCCCAGTATCATACTGCAGATAAAGAGAACGTAACCACAATTGTAAGGACTTCGCTGGAAATCCTTTCTTCTGAAAGAGGACCCAGGAGACTGTGGATTCAGTTGGTCTCTGAGACTGAAGAACAGTTGTTTTGATATTTTTTGGAAATTCAAGAACAGTTGAAAGCCAACACTTATTTCCTAATAACCACTTGGCAAGCAAAGGGCAGTGTGAGTTAAAGCAAAAATACACAGATGCAGTATTAGCTACTACAAAGTTGAAAGGTCGGTCAGTTTAAGTTACTTAATCATCAGTCCACAACTTAAGTCTTGAGAGAAATAAATCAGTTCCAGGACTACCCTGGGCCAAAGACCAAGGGTAGATCCAGAGCAGAAATTTAAATGAAGTGATTATGAAATTGTGGATTTCTTCTGATTACTTCTCTTAATAAATATCCTGCCTGTCTGATTCTCATTTCCAAATTTCCTGTTGTCACCACTTACATGTAAGCACTAACTGTTAAATGCATTGACTTGTGCTCTTTGGTTTGTTCCTTCAATTTTAGAACTTCCTCAGGTTTCCTGAACTTACAAATGTGGCACTAAAGAGCTTTTCAGGAATTGGCATAGGATTGAAAACTGTGCACGTTATCATCACCATTGTGCCTACCTTCCTGCCACCTTCACTTATGCATTTATTTACTTATTTGGCCACAGAAAAGAAATGAGTAGGTCAAAACCATGATTTAGAAGTACATGGAATTTATGGGAAGGTGTCAAAGATAAAAACCTAGGTATTTAAATTAAAAGGATTTTCACAATGTTGTTGCAAGAGGTTCAGATTTGAGACCACCTAAAGAACCTGAAGGTGCACAGGTCCATGGCACCTGATGTAACACATCTGTGGGTTCCGAGGGAACTGGCAGGGAAGTGTCTAAGTCATTATCCATGATACTTGAGAAGTCATGGCAGTCCAGTCCCTTTGGATGGCATCCTGTCCTTCAACTTGTCCAGGGCGCACTCGATGTCACTGTGTCATTGACGAAGATGCTGTAAGTGCACCTAAACAAGAGTCCCAAAACAAGAGTCCAGAGGGACAGCATTCAATATCAGCTTCCACCTGGACACAGAGACACTGACCACAACTTTCCAGCTGTATCCATTCCGTCAATTCCTTTTCCACTGAACAGTCTACCCTTCAAATTTATACCTCTCCAAGTAAGCTAAAGAGTTCAGTACAGCTCTTTAGAGAAGAGCTCTAGAAGGAAGTTTCCCCTAAAAAAGGAATGAAAAGTGACATTGATCTCTATCCATTCATATTTAGAAAAAAAAAATCAGCAATCCAAACCCTTATTGTAATTTCTGCTCACATAAATGAACTTCTGAAGAAAAATATAAACTCTTAATAATTTCATCAACAAAATTGCGCATCACAAGAAGTTTGATTGGCATATTTGCTTTATTGTTAACAAGTGGCAAATTAGCATTAGGTGGTGATTTACATTTATTAATTAGAACTGACACTTTAAAATAAACATAATATACGAAATAAGAGGCAAACAAACCAAGGAATTCTGGCAAAATAAACCTCACTGGATGGTCACAAACAAATATTCCATGTACTGAGGGGCAAGGCAAACATAATAAATGCAAGGCTGAAAAAATTAATCACCTCCAACACATGAATGAACACACCATTTAAAAATACAGAACATTAATAAATAAACTTATGAAGAGAAACATAGTGTCATACGAAGGATGAACACCAAGATTTAGAACAATCACATAAAGTGGGTTTTGTAAAAGTTGTACTGTACTGAGCAGATCCCACCCAAACCCATTCGTGGTTCTGCCAGAAAGCCAAACTGAAATACAGAACTATGGTAAAAGATGCACTTCTGTTTAGAACGTGGGTTCAATATTCAGCCATATTAAACTGAGTATTTGATTTGCTGACTCAAACGTTCAAATTGGAGAAATATAATTTCCCTATTGATTATTTTTGTAAAGAATGAACACTTATTAAGAGAAAATATGAAGAAGCTGTTTTCTGGCAAGATAAGTAGAATGGGAGTAAATAGGATCCTCCAGAAATGTGTATTATTCTGGACTGACCTAACACCGAAAAACCAAACCCAAAACAAATGAAAAAATGAACCAGTATGCAAGAGTAATCTCTTATACTGTCAATACTGGAACGAAAATATCAACCAAGTAACTACTGAATTCAGCTAATGAAGTCTTTTACCTAACACTTTTTCCAACAGCACAATTAGGTCACTCAAACCTTACTTAGCAAGATGGAAAAAAACCAACCAAACCAACCAGCAACAAAACAATCACAAGTTGGAATAAGCTGTACTTGAAAGGCAATTAAACTATTTTCACCAGAGTCACTAAAACAAATTTTACCAAAGATGAAAATTCTACCTTCTCATACAACCCATATAACTATTCATAGCTTAGTCAAACTGGATGGAAATAAAATTGAAAAAAGTGCTGTTATTAAACACAGTTTTTTCAGCCAAGACTATAAACACTCATAACAGGCTTGTTCTTTGCAGATATACAAAGTCTATGTGATGGAAACTAGCACTTCTTGTGACCTTTGTAATACATAGACAATACCATCCAATTTTATATGCAGACTATTTGCATAGCCTACATCTGTGTGCACATATCTTGCTTATTTAAAGTACTACAGTCATACCTCCTTCCACTGACTCGGTAAACAGGCATCATGGAAACACGCTCTCCCTGCATTTCAGGCAGCAGCTCTCAGCTGTGATGGTGAATTAAAGCTAGTCCCTTGCAGATGACAGCACTTCCATGATGCAGAAAGACTGGGTCAGTGTTACAACACCATCTGGAGTTCCCACCCTGTGAAGGCACAGGAGTGTGGCTGCCCTGGAGTGGCCACTGCCCCAGCACTGCGGGAGAGGCTCAGTGCTGGAGCACCGAGGAGAGCTCCCCTGCCCAACACGCTCCCAGCCAGGAACTCCCAGGTGGAGCTTCCCCTCCCTCCAGGGAGTTCAAGGGCTCTTCGAGTCACTTTGGCAAATTTGAAAAATTCTGCCAATATGTTCATTTCATAGCTACAACCTGAAATGGGGGTGAAACACCTCCCTGCAGTGGTGTGCAAGACTAATTATTCATATAAACACATATTTTAATTGCTGTATATTTGAAGATTCCAGTTCTGACACTACCTAGGGTGTGGGCATCATGCATAAATATAAACCTGTGTAAGGTACATCATATAGCAATTAAGCTTCATGCTATGCTGTTTTTACTATTGAAGCTAGCATTTTTTATAACTCCATTGCACTTCTATCAGCATAATTCCAATGATCTTGCACTACTTCCTGGCACAGAGAGGTCCTTTGTATAAGAGAAAATCACAAAAGTAGAATGGGAATGCAAACTCCCTCAGCCAAACATCAAAACCAGCCTCTTCTTGTTTCTTTAAATGGAATTTTACTGTTGACCTTTTACTCCCTCATTCTTTAATAGATAGAAGAACCTTAGTAAGAACATCAGGAAGATAAAATGACAGACAGTAAATCTGTCATAGGGTTATACATTGGTATAGGAATCATCACAACAATTGCATCGCTAAATTTCACTATAAACAGACAGTGCATAGTTCATGTTTTTTTCCTCCCATGAAAACCAAGGCATAAGGGTGTGGAGAGGACTAGGGCAAGAGGGTTTGGATGTAGACCACCAATAAATTAAATGGGAACTTCTTGACACATGTAAGACACTAAAGATTGAAAATTCAGTCCAACTCCCTGAATTTTTTATTCTCTAAATATAACAAATTTGTTTCCCACATTCAGTTCTTTGGGGATGTCATGAAAACCAATCCACTGTTTTGTACAAACATCCACTGAGATGGAATTACAGTGATCTGTGCTAATACCTTGAGTAATACAGGCTAGGGTCTGTAACATCACAGACTTCAGAAACCTATGTCATTCGCTAACAAAACCAGTTGATAAACACAAAACATATCGGGCATCATAAGTCTTACCAAACAGCACCAAACTACAAAGTCAAAAAGAATTTCATTGTCTGCTTATATTTACTGTGGATTACAACACGCACACATTATCCAGTGTTACCATCAATAATCAATTATGTTTCATAGACCTTCTTTGTATGGCCAAATTAAAAGACCAGTTTTAAAAACTGGTTTTAAATAGTTTTATCCCTTCAGGTTAATTCCCTATCTAATCCTCATGATAAATCACGTAAGTGTAAATGAAGCAAATGATGTGCTACTCAAGTAATTTACTAAATGCTGCATTGAAAGCAAAGAATCCCACAAACAGCTCACAAAGCAGCAAACACACTAACTGTATGAGTATTGATTTGAAATCTGCTACCTACAATTCAAAGAAGAAAGTCAATATGTTTTTTCCTACTGTTACAATAGTCCTGGAAAATCTGAAAAGTATTTAGTGCTGTACTAAACATTCCCTTTGTAGAAAGCATTTTTAATAAATGCAAAAATGCATTTTCCAGCAGAAACAACTGCAAATTCATCAGGCAAGAGTAGATTCACTATCTGATCAAACCTATTCTGGACTGGTATCTTTGCTGTTGGACTCTCAGCTCACAATACATCAGTCTGCAAACCTCCATGACCCAAGTCCAGGGCAAGATCTCCAAAGCAGGCTTATCTAAAGAAAGAATGCAGAATTCCAGTTTTTTTAAATACAAACATGAATGTGCTATGGATCCTAGAATTTAAACTCCTAGAAAATAAACTGGCTAGGACTTGTCAGTTCTAAGTGTCATGACCAGTCATCCATCCTATCATGCTCAATAGCCAGTTTACACCAATTGTGAAACAACTACACTGAATGAAGGATAATTTATTTTAAAAAATTGTATAAAAAGTGCAAGACATTCACTGAACTGATTTTAAAACATGAATAGCTCGTGGCCTGCAACATAACTACATCAAGTCTCTTAAATCACTCTTAGACGACTACACTGAATCACTGAATGAAGGATAATTTATTTTAAAAAATTGTATAAAAAGTGCAAGACATTCACTGAACTGATTTTAAAACATGAATAGCTCATGGCCTGCAACATAACTACATCAAGTCTCTTAAATCACTCTTAGACTGGTATCTGCTTGAATAAGTTTTTCTTCAATCACTTTCTTCCAAATTTGCCCCGTTGATAATCACAATTTTTGAGAATGTAAGCAATGACCATAACACTATCATGGAACACTACATCATATTTCATCTAAGTCGTAAAGAAATTAAATTAATTGAAACTAATGGTGCTTGTGAGCTGGAAGTACCAGTTTCTGACAAAAAATGCATTTACTGTGGGAAGGCACAGTTATTTCAGATTGTTCTGTCACGCATAATGAAGATGGTGCAAGTACTTCAAAGCAAAACTTCACAAAATAAATTACAACATTAAGATACAAGTTAAGTGATTTGGCTTGTGAATGGTTTTATTAATAAATGTGTAATTTACCAATTTACTATGTAATTAGTAAAAAATCGAACAACTTTGAGTCTCTCCCTTCTTCCCAATGGATTAATGTGAAGTCTATTACTAACTTGAAGAAACTGCTGTTTTGAGATCACAAATACACAAAATTGAAAAAAAAAAAAGGTCAGATATTGATAGCAGTGAAGCACAGTTACTCCCCTATGCATTCATACGTGTAAGCTGTGCTATTTTCACAGGAATAAGAATAAAGACTCACTACTTACATCAAGGTCTACTGCTCTAATAGCATTCATTTTTATAGAACTATTTTTTTTTTGGTATTGGATACATCAAGAAGGCTATTTTCAAAATATGAGTTCAACATTTAGGTAGGATAAGTATAGACTTTGCTTGAGGAAATGAGGGAAAAGAAAAAATGAGCAGGACCTTTGGAAACAGGACAAAGCACAACACCTTTAGATATGCTAGTCATGGTGGAACACAGGAGGAGGAAGACAAGTATTTTGAAACAAAAGGAACTTAATAAAATGAATAATAATAAAATTAATAGCATATTTTCCTTATAAATACATAAAAATATTAACACTTTTTTACTGAAAAACAGAACATGGAAAGCAACAAAAAGAAAATCTTGCCTTTCTTCTTAGATGCAAAGAGAATTCTCAGGTAGTTTTCCACTTTGATTCTTTAAGGAAGCAACTGGAAAATCCAATTAGCATATTACTGTTAAAGAATTTAAAGATCTGAACTTTTTACACGTTTATCTAGGAATTCATAAGGAGTTCATGTTGTTTTCATTTAGAACACAGCATCTAAGTTACTGTCATACATGAAAGAAATGCCTCCACAGAGAAACTTTTGAAGCCCAAGTTGTTCATGGCTAGTTCCCTATAGGTAAGCATTACCCTACATAAGAGATTTAAAAAATCCTTTGCCTAGTTGGATTTACAAAGAAAAATAGCATTGAACCTCTTCTGCTACCTAGGTTACTTAAAGCGTTTTTACCTTACTTTTAAATATTTTCAACAAAGAGTAAAGAGTATTTCCTTGAATGGCACAGTTTTAGGTAGCTGCTATTTTTATATACAGTATATATCATTGTTTATAAATAACTGTGTAACCAGAAGATTGCACTTAGAAAATTATAAAGTGATGTTTTGACTTTTGCAGCATGAAGTCTAACTGGAAGGAGTACTCAAGCTTTCCATGCAACAGTACATAGCAGATGTTCCAATTTCTTGTATTCCTTCTGCTTTAAAGAAAGTGTTCACACAACCATTCTTCGAATTCCACACTCACAGCAGAACTTTGCCCATTCCACTGGATACTTTGTTCCACATTCATGGCAGAACTTGGATAACTGTACAGGTGAAATTCCTTCGCTGCTTTTCGCACTTCCTCCATTCACTGAGGATGGGCAGTCTCCATTGTCATACCCAGTTTTCCCATCAGACCTGAAAATTCCCAGATGAAGAAAATTCTCTAAGTCAGTTCAGTGTAAAAATGTAAAATTACTCTAATCCTTGCAATGAATATAGTTATTGTTACTGTCATTTTAATTCCTTCACTTCCTATATACAGTGGTATATCTTATATACAATGCTACCCAGGCTCCCATACATATACCCAGATACCTACCTTCCCTGCAAGAAAATAAAAAACACCAGAGTTTGAGGAGCAGGATCAAATATTTCATTGACTACTTAGACTACCTGAAGTGTTTGAAAACTTAGCTTGTTAAAGAGGGAAGGCTAAACCTACAATACAATTTTAGTCCTACCCTTTTAAAGGGCAAAACAATTTGTGTGCTTAGCATGCAGATTTAATTCAGTTTCTACTGAAATAATATTTGGTTATTTTTTCAACAGCTCCCAAGTAGTTTTTGACATTTCCAACAGGGTCTTCTGTGCACATCTGAGACAGCTGATGACAAAGGTGTGCTGTCAGATGATAAACATGCAAAATATATCGAGCACATTATACAAGCAAAATAATATTGATCATCTATTAACTGCAGAGAATGATACATTCCCTAATTTCTTTTGTAGGAGGTAATCCCCTTTAATGAAGGCTCTATTAATGACAAAGTCCACAAAGTTAAAAGCTACCTTGAGTGAATGTCTGAATTGCTAGTTTTTCTTCTGTTTGTCAAAGCACCCGTGCTCATGGCTCTTGCCACACTAGGAGGGGTTGACGTCCGGGTTTTTGCTGCACCTCTAAAATAGAAGAAATATCTGATATTTTATACACACAGAGAGAAATACATACAAGAATATGCATTTTCAAATATATATGTATATCTATACACACATATAAAAGTGCATCAATCTACACATTAGTTAACTGCATGAAAAATAACTCATTTCCTACCAACAGCAGACAGAGGAGCTCTGGCATGAACTTGCAGGGTCTGAACTGTTATGACTTGAACCTCACAATGACAAGTTAAATGAAATAGCAAGTCCCTTCCTGTTCGTGTGTCTCACTTCCTAACAGGTAGATCCTGCATTATTGATTGCTCAGTACATTCTAATGTCTACATTGACAAATTATTATAAGTCACTTTTTAGGACTGGCAGGTCTTCTAGGAAAATAGCGAGCAGATGACTGAAGGTTTTAATAGTTTAAAATCTGTAGAAAGGATACCATATTTTCAATACTTTGTGACCCATAATGAAGTGAGTGAACAAGACTATTTTTCTTCTTAGATAATGCTGTAAGTCTTTTTTCTTCAAAGCACAATTATATTTATGAATATAAATAGAAGGAGAGAAAGAAAGTGCATCCAGGTGGGCATTAAGGCCTCAATTTTTTTCTAAACTGTCACAGTGTTCCTGAGGTTGGAGTCAATACTATGAGCACACAGATATAGAAACTGCTTCCCTCAGGACTCATGAGCATTATGAGAAACAATACAATGATCAGCACATCCCAAACACTGATAACATCTTGTTGCTTGTTTTGATGAGTAGAGAAACACCAGAATACCCTAAAAAAAAAATCTGAGTAGCACTAAGAAAAATAAATTGTAAGGGGCATAGTTTTATCATTAGTGATCAAGGACAGAAGTTTTCATCATTGCTCAAAACAATTACAATTCACTGGGATTTCTTCTTTGGCAAATCTTCAGACTATGACATCTTGTGCATGATCAAGTTTTTCTGTTCTCATTCTTGAACACCAATGCATAAATGAAATTAAGTTGGGACTCACCCAAGGACATTAAAAAAATTGAAACAAGACCCCATTAAAAAAAAATAGTCACCAAGAGATCATTTGGTCCCTTCAGATAAACCTAACAGATAATCCTTTAAGAATTATAAACTGTCTGGTCTTGATTTGGTTTTCAAACCACATATAAGAAAACATTCAACTCCAGTAACTTCAAATGCAACACTGACACAAATGACAAACATGCAATAACTCCTGAATTATTGACTTGCTGCATAAAACATTTCTCCCTTCATGTTGTGCACATGCAATAAAGATGGCTTTTCAGCTCCTTCTATCACTTCAACCAGTGGAGAAGTGATCAAATAATTAATCACAAAGGTGAAAATGAGCAACTAAATGCAAGATTATTTAAATTGAAATTATATCTAACTAAGGCATTCAATTTTAACAAGAATGGCTTCTACTTGCAACAGGTACAGCAGAATGATCAAAGATTATGGATTACTAGGCAGAACACTAACTTTCTCCATTAATTTTCCTGTTTGCCCCCTTATTTTGCAAGGAGATTCTAAAGATGGACTTAATTAAAAAAAAATACTGTACAGACTGAAAAGCACTACATCAGTTATATCAGAATTAAAACTTACTAGAAGTGACGTCAGCCTTTCAGAAGTTACAGAATTCTAGAATAAAAGTTCTAAATGTAACCTGAATTACACTGCTATGATGTACAGATGCTAAAAACTCATCTTGTGCTCTTTTCCCCATCTTATACAGTGAAGAGAGACCTTTGCTTATAACTGAGTAAAACTCATTAGATCTCTATAGTAGAAAGAACATACTGGACTGTTATTTTACCTGTTATGGAAGACAGAAAGACATATAAAGAAAAAATCAGCTGCGCACAGAGAAACATTATGGGATCATCATGGATCAGGAATGATCATGCAATGAAGCTAAGAATAGAACTGTGTCTCAATTCCTGTTTAGACAGCTTAAAGTAATTGAAAACCAAAAATTCATAATTATTACTGACTCAGTTTTCTCTGCATTTTCATCTTGGGACCAACATACTACTTTTTCAAAACTAACAGCATTCATTTCTTAAATTGAAGTCTCTTCAGAGTGTACTTTGAATCAATTTTGAACATCATGTTAGGAGTCCTGGAAATTTGAAATAAATTGATGTGAAAACCAGTCCACTATTCTTCCCTGTATTTCAACTGTATCAGACACCCTTATCTCACTAAGTACTCTGAAAAGTCACATGGTGCTTTGGTACTAGGTGTATGCTAAAGAAGTTTTGGAGAAATCAGTGTAGTATTAATACAGCATTCAGGCCACTGACTCAGTTGGGGAAGGGAAATACTGTACAGACTGAAGCCATATTCAAAGTGCACAGTCCACCCTGTATAAAGGAGGCAATGTCTCAGAAGTCTCAGATAAAACATGACTCATTAAAGGTTTAACAGGACATCTTCATTCCAAAATGTATAAAAACACCTTAAGCATATTTCTGCAGTCTTTTTCCACAACTAGTTTCCTAAAAACATAGAAGAAACCTCAAATATGTTTTCAGACCAGAAACTTCCCTTCCAACCTTACCCATTCTGTGATTTCTGACATTTTTGATGAGTAAATGAACATAAGGAGTAGGCTGCCACTGCCTACAACTTTATTCAGCCTATATCTGGACACATAATTAGCATCATGTTTCATGTATGTTTGGTGAAAAAACTTGAAATTGCATCCTTAAGTAGCAATCTGATCTCTAGAGACAGATGCCTTCCAACAACGTCAGGTATTTTTGGTTATTTCAACTTGTCCCACCAGAGCTTGGCTTGTTCTGATCTGCCCCATCTCTGCCTTCTCTATATCCTTGTCCACTTCTGTGTTTTTCCTGTTTGGTTGGGTTTTGTGTTCTGATTTTGAAAAGCTATATAAATCCCTGCTCTACACTGTATCACATGAAGCATGAATAGAGTCCGACAACAGATGAGGCTGTGTACATACACCAGCTGGAATTCTTAAAATCTAGACATACTGTAAAGAAATGTATTATCCACTCTCTATTTTAAAAGAAATGACTGAAAGTGACTTCCCTTCCTAAAGCAGCTCATGTTCTATATCCAGTTGAATTACCAGTGCTTGCAAAATTAAAATCCAAAAGTAATTGGTAAAAGAAGCTTGACTTTTTCTATTCATGCATGTATTATTTGCTTGAATTCTATCATAAAACACTGATATATAAATCTTGCTTCTTAGAGTGTTTTCAGATATCCTTGACAGCTGCCACTGTTACCCACAACAGCTCATAGTTCTGTGCAAAGTCATAAATAACTTTCTGCTGACTAATGGCATGCATCCCAAAGTCCAGAAACCTTTGCCATAAACTGCAACCATCCACACTGCTATGCTGAATTTAAGAAAGTTTAGGAACTATTCAACTTGCTGAATGCTGTTGGCATGCAATACACTGAATAACTTACTACCAGTAAGGCAGATTTAATTCTTGAACTCAGTAGATAATTGAGTAACAACAGAATTGTATGAAGAGCAGAAGTGGTGCCTATAACTTTTAAAGAATTTTTCTTGAGAAGAAAAATCAAATCATTGCTCTACGGATAGGGCCTCTTTTAAGCAATTGTAGTAACAGCTAAATCTTCAACTTCAAATCTTAATAATGTATTACAAAATGAAAAATTTAGCTAATTTTTGATGGTTTGTGGGATTCATAACTTTAACCAAACATTCAAGGGAGCAAATAAAAACAAAGAAACTATTTGTCTAAAAAGAGTTCCCATTCCTTTCAATTGTTTTTGATTCTTCAAACCCAAGTCCCTGTCTCAAAGATACCACAGTTTTGGTTACAGCATTAAGAGATTCAGACACATTTCTACTATGTAAAGCAATACATTCCATGTGTGTGGAATTCATTATTCATAATTCATTATTTCTCTTTTAGAGTATTAAAACGCAGTATTTGACATCTTCCAAAATGCAGTAATTGACATCTTCCAAAATACAACAAAGGCTTAACTCCAATTTAGTATCTATTTCTTTTTTAAAAGTTTAGAATAATTGGAATAACCTTCCTTCCAAACTTAGATCTTATAATGACTCCTGAATATCCAGAAATTTTATATGAGGTAGATTGGACTCAACCAAAGACTTTACCTTTCATTACAAAGTCTGCCTTCCTCATATTTTTGGATCATCACAGCTACCTTACAGATGTAGGAGTTAGAGAAATATTTGACCTTAAGATAATAAAATTACAATTTTAATCTGTCAAAAAACGGTATAGTTATCATGCATAAATGCTTACTTCAGCTTTGCATCATGCAAATCAGTTTTATCTTGGGTTTAGAAAGGCACCAGTTCATTACTTTTAGTCTGTAATCAAGACACAAATTTGTTACTTGTAATCTGTAATCAAGCACTGACAGAAGAAATCAAATCTGAGGGAAACCTTCATCTTCCCTGTCCTGTGAAGCTGTTTACCTCACCCTGGTATTAATTATATCATCTACCCTTCTCTCACAGCATTTATATGGAAGACATACTGGGCAGGTGATTTTCATCAGAGACATTTTTCTGATTAGGAGAAACAGTTTTGCAAAATAAATAAACCACACTGATTTGTAATACTTCTTCAGAGGCAACAGCTCATCTGGTCCTTTGATGGTACTGTCTGTTTTTGTATCAGTATCATAAAACCTTTGCATATGTCTTCCAGTTCTCAGTGGTGTGCCTAACATCCATCACTGGAAACCCAGCTTTGTTTTAACAACAAAAACCCCATTCAAAATAGATAGTACTACATACACAGCCAATACTTTGATAGGTTTTTTTTAGTATTATGGTTAACATTTCCAAACCAAAAAGAATAAATCAAAAATCAAATTTAAAAAAAAATAATGAAAAAAGGCAACCAACAAAATAAAAAAACCTCCCTCAAATCACCATAAGGAAAACTGTAGACTTTCAGAAATAACAACTTAGATTAGAAAATCAGATCTTTAAGTTCTGCATTTTTATC